GGATACGCCCACTGAAGGGAGGTGACAACTCCCGTAAGGTGGAGGTAAGTCGTGCCTCGCGTAGGCCCTATCCTGTCGTAGGGGCTCGCGAGAGGTATGGCTGGCGCACTCRGCCGRAGCGGCTTGCGGAAGATCCATATATATTTGCGACGAGGATTTAAACCAACTCCTGCATGAYACAGCCGGGAGGGTCCCGCGCTGCYCTGGTGCGGTGCCGGACCGATGCGCTCGACAGGTGGCGCCGTTGCCGGGGATAACGAAAAGCCTATCATTKTCCCTGGTGGAACGACATCYGGGTRTGAGAAGTGAATGRGAAAAGGCATAAAGRAAWGACGAGAAGGTAAGGAAAAATAATGAGTAACTAAGTATAGGTGAGGAAGYTTACSTWCCTGAGTTAGGAGAATCATGAGGRASGATTRTGTTAGTATTRGGTAAAGTATGTAGTAAGAGTTGGGTAGAGCGGGTGGAATAGACCGGTCAAGGTGTAATGCTGAATAAGGGGATGTGTTTGTTTTCTCTTGACAGGAAGCTTGAAAAGAAGAGGYTGTCAAGATGCCTGAGACTGGCGGCGCATCGGATGGCGCCAGGAAGGTCCTGACGCTCGATGACCTYATCGCGGCTATTGACCGGCATGAAAGGAACCCGAGCAATATCCCTAAGGTCGATACCTTCCACTTTTGTTGGGAGAGAGTCTYAGAATGGCTGGARCGGGTGGAACAAGCTTTGGTCGSGCGGTCGRATGTTGTAAAGTTGTMACGCATTCTCCWGTATGTCCTCCACAGYTACCACCAAGAATTGAAGAAAGTTATAGGTGCSGCCCAAGGTAGTTSGGAAAGGTTCAAGGAAGGAATGCAGAGGAAGTACCGCCYSGGAGATGGAYTGTTGACTACCAYGGACCTTGAGGCGATGAACAAAGAGGACTTTACGACGATAGGGGCCTTTSTTCAAGAATTCAAGAAGAGGGCGCGGAAGGTCCATGGGATTTCGRAGGAGGCGCAGTGCACCATCTTCCTGGGGCWACTTACGGCATCGGAGGCTRTCGAGCTGACAAAACATGGAGGAGGCAGCACCAAGCTCACCTGGGCCACCATTGACAAAGGGGTSGAAGTTGGATGCTTGGACCAGGTGGAGCAACATCAGGTACGCCTGCAAAGGCAGAAGAGAAAGGAAAAGAGATGCGACCGCTTCTGGGACCCTGGGAGTAAAAAGGATCGTTACGAACGTAGTGACGCAGCTGGGATATGGGACAGAGCCGGTGGTGCAGAGAAGGGTAGTGACGGCTGTCCAGGTGAAAGGAAAGGAGCCAGTGGTAGAAGAGGCCGTTCAGGAGGAGCTCTGGGAAGAGGAACAGTCGGTGTCGTAGCACCTGACGAAGGCCCAACGCAAATTGCGTAACTTGGCGCAGGGCGGCCAGGGGTCAGGAAAAGGGCAGACGCCCCAGGCTTTGGCGGCAATTCCTCCAAGTGTGGCGGTGCCATCGTCTAGTGCGGCCCCCCCACAAGGAGGGGCACCCTCCTACGGGCAGTGGCCCTGGCCGGTGATCAATGCAATTGTGCCATGGGGTAGCCCGCCGCCAGTAGCCGGACCGCAAACGAGTATGCCGCCACCCATCGACCCCGCAGCCCAGGCCCAGCCTGTGGCCCCACCGCCGTCGCCCGCTCCCAGTTCACAGGGAAGCGGGGCTAAAGGTGGGAACCAGGGGCAGGGCAATCAAGGAAACAGAGGGAGGGGTGGGGGAAGGGGGCGAGGCAGGAATGACGGCGGAAGAGGAGGGCAATGGAATGGTCAAGGCCGGGGAAACCAAGGCCAGGTGTACCAAGGCCAGGGGTACAAAGGCCAGGGGTACCAAGGCCAGGGGTACAAAGGCCAGGGGTACCAAGGCCAGGGGTATCAAGGCCAAAGGGACCAAGGCCAGGGGGATCAGGGAAGTCAAGGGTACGGAAGGGCCCGTTTTGACTGGAGGTCGRCCATCTGCCAACATTGTGACCAGCAAGGCCACACTRTAAGGTTCTGTAACATAAGGCGGGAGGACGAGAAAAACGGGCTGATTTCCTCCACTATGGAYGGGAACATTTATGACCAATTTGGCGAGTTCATTGACAGGAGGCTCGGGGGAGTGAGAGCGGAAGCCCAACGAAGGGCGGCAGCCGGGCCGCCACCTCTTGCCACGTTCAGGCTGTGGCAGGAGAAGAAAGGACCATCGATGGGGATAGAGGAATTCAGGCTATGGTAGGAAAAGGAAGAACCATCGATTAAGATAGAGGAAGTGGGGAACGACGAGGAAGTAACTCAAGGGCCACGAGGAGGAAGTAAGAGGGAAAAGTCCATAATTGTCGAATCGGACGACGAGGACGAGGGAAGAAGGATGGAACCCCCGTCCGTCTTATTGGGGAAAGTGGAGGATCTACTGGACAAGGTGGGGAGGTACCAACAGAAGTTGGTGGACCTCTGTGAGGAAGTGAGGGAGTGGAAGTCTAGCATCCCCAAGCTGTTCCTGTACGACTCTGGCCCGGAGTTAGCGCCTGGGTGACTCGGAGTAAATGTGGTGGGATCGGGCCCACAATCAGGAGTGATGGGGAGACCCCTCACCCCGCAGGCCCGGCTGGCGCAGGCAGCGTGAACAAGAAGTCAAGCCAAGGCCAGTGCCAGCCAAGAACCTCTGAGGAGGGAGCCGGAACCAGGAAAAACGAAAGAGGCCGTGGAAGTGGAGGATGACGATGATGAGGAGGAAGAAGACGAGAGGCTGCGCCGAGAAGAGGATCAGCGAGCGGAGCAGCGGGCGAGGAGAAAGAGAATAAGGGAGGAGGTCAAACCGGTCATGCGTAACGAACCGCCCAAGAAGAAAAAGTATGTGGTTCGGTTAGAARAGGGGTTTGACGTAGAGCGGGTGATCGACAGGCTGTTAGAAGGGCATAACGATCTCATGACCCTGAAGGAAATCCTGGCGTCTGCCCCGCGGCTCCGCGATGAATTGAAGGGGAGGTTGTCGCGGCGTCTGGTGCCCAATGTCCATCTAGGTACGATCCTGGCCAAAGAGGCCGAGTGGGCAGAATCGGGCACGAAGATGGACTGGAAGTGCGTGGCCTGCGGCACAGTGGACTTGGTGGTAAAGGGCTCCAAGTGTGCGGCAATGGTGGACACGGGAGCTGAAATGAACATCATCAGAGAGGCCGATGCAATCAAGTTTGGGCTGGATATAGACCGATCTGATTGCGGGATTGTACATGGGGCCAGCTGCAAGGCCGTGTTTTGTAGGACAGCCTCGAATGTACTCATCGAAGTTGGGAAGGTGAAGGCCCGRGCTTGTTTCTTCATCATGYCGGACGTGGATCACGGAATCCTCCTGGSGAGGTCGTTCCTGAGCAGGACGGAGACCGTGATGTTCAATAAGCATGACGGGACGTTAATTCTCCTCCTATGTGACCCTGCCTGCGGGAATYACGAGATAATTACCTGCAGAAATACAGGACCGAGGAGTATAAGGAACCGGCCCAACCYAGGATCCTTCACRATTGAAGAGTCGAAAAGTGAGCGCCGGAGGCTYCGAGCAGCGCCAGAAGGAGGAGAGAAGGTGAAAGCATTTTCCCTCCGCCTGTCGGACRTCGGAAAGACCATGGACTTGGTGGCCRCGCACGAGATGGYAGATCCGGATGCCATCCAGACCCTRAGGGAGCAGGTSYTGGAATGCCYCGAGGCGGGGAGGTTGRAACTGGTATATCRTCTTCCGGACAGCAGGAGGAACCCCGCATCAGCGCAGGCGCAATYTGTGAGTCGGCCTTTTTTAGGGGACAACTCAAGCAGGGTTCGCAAAGGCRGTACAAGACGGTAGATAAGAAATGCCGCCCGGTTCCCGTCCTCGTTACAAAAGACGAGGAAGCATACTACGAGAGGGAAYGAGGGTTGATACGGCGAATGAGGGAGAGTGTTYTAGCAGGGTCATGTCGTATCAACAAAGGGAATGAGGGGAAGTTGATTATAGGGGAACCCGACTTCCTGCTGCCTCAGGAGCGAACGTTGATGGTGGAGTTGATGAAGAGGAGGCAACGCGCCTATGCGYTTAGTGACGAGGAGCGTGACAGGATGGATGTGGACAAGATACYTATGATCCGCATCCACACCGTGCYACACGAGCCTTGGAACATGAGAGGGGCRCGATATCMTARTCCTGACGAGGAAAAGAAGGTGGTGGATTACCTCGAYGACAAGATACGTACGCACGTTGCCGACTATTCGAGTGGACCGTATGCGTCCCSGTGGTTCTGCTTTATCAAGCCTAACGRGACGCTGCGGTGGGTGCAAGACTTGCARAKGCTAAATGCGGTGRCCRTGCGGGATGSTAGAGGACTGCTAAATGYRGAYGCTCTGTCAGAATTCTGTGTTGGAAGACCTWTAATCTCACTTATAGACCTTTACTCAGGATATGATCARTTTMCGGTCTATCCGCCGGAGAGGCCGGTGACGGCTATGCACACRCCGCGAGGACTAATCCACATGAACGTGGCCCCGCAAGGGTGGACCAACGCGGTAGCAATGGTCCAACGGGCCATGATTCGGGCTATGCWGTCAGTCAACCCCCATATCACACAGCCATACATCGACGATTTGGCGGTGAAGGGGCCGGCAGTGAAGGAGAGCGACAAAGTCTTGCCAGGGGTGAGGCGCTTTGTTTGGAAGCACATCCAGGACCTCGAGAAAGTCCTGAGCCTGCTCGAGGAGCATAACCTCACGGCAAGCGGGGCCAAATCCAGACACTGCATGAGGGAAGCGACTATCGTGGGGTTCGTCTGCAGCGAGAAAGGCCGAAGATCGGATGTGAAAAAGACGGACAGGATTACTGAGTGGCCAGTTCCGTTCCACTCAATAACTGATGTTAGAAGCTTCCTTGGTACGTGTGGATTTTGGAGGGCCTTCGTCAAGAACTTTACCGCTAAGACTGAAAACCTGAGAAAGTTAGTTCGTCAAGGCCAGGAATGGGTTTGGGATGAAGAGCAAGAAGAGGTGGTGGCCAGAATGAAGGAGGAATTTCGAGAAGGAGGGTTGGTATTGGGAGCGCCAGATTATGATGTCACGGAGACGCGACCCTTCATTGTCGAAACGGATGCGGGGCCGACTGCCTTAGGGGGAGTTCTAATTCAGACAGATATGGAAGGAAAGGAAAGACCCTTGAGATTTGAGAGTCGGACTCTCTGTACGACCGAGRGGAACTACTCTCAGTTCAAGAGGGAGACCCTTGCCGTCCTCCACTGTCTGCGGATCTTCTGGAACTACATCTTCGGCAGGAGGTTTATTTTGAGAGTGGATCCGACCRCCCTGGCCTACTCTCTAAGGAATTACGTTCCATCGGATTCGACGGTTGCCAGATGACTGACGTACATCTGGATGTTTAATTTCGAGTTGGAGCGGATACCTGGCAGTAAGAACCGGACAGACGGGTTGAATCGGATCAACTGGGATAAACTGGAAGGGAAGGCGGTGGAGAATACGCCCCCAGTTGATAGATTTCTGGATCAGGAGGAAGATGTTCACCTCCATATCAACAAGTGGTCGCCGCGAGTACCCAACTGTGTAGGCTATCCTATCTGGCAAACGCCGAATGGGTATGAACGGAGGGCCGAGCTAGTCCTCAAACCCTTTGAAGAAGAGGATCCCTGGGGTGGTAAGGGTGTTCAGTGGATGATGGAATTGGCGCTGGCTAGTTCGCATAGTCTGGTGGAAGACATGAGGACGATCGAGGAAGGACCAGGCCAGGTAGAACGGCATGAGGACCTGATGGGAGGAATGTATCTCCTCGTCAATACGTTGCTGCAGGAAAGCGTCGACCAATCAGGCTTGTTGAACCCAACAGAGAATGTGGACGAAGTGCCCGAGAGCCAGGACGACGAGTTCGAGGAGGGGGAAATTAAGGAGGCCTTTCGTGCAGAGGAGTATGACGGGATCTACCTAGAGCTAGGACTCCTTCTATCGTGCGAGAGGCGGCTAAGGGATGCGAGTGATACGGCTTAGAGGATGATGCAGCGCTACTTGGTGCGGGACGACCACCTTTTCGTAAGGAGAGAAGTGGGGAATCCCAAGAGAGTTGTCTGCGGTAGGAACCGTCAGATTGACGTCATAGCAGCCCTTCATGACGGCATTGCAGGAAGGCATCGAGGGGTACAAGCCACGTATGCCAAAATAAGTGAGTTGTACTACTGGGATGGGATGATGAACATGATCGGGCAGTTCTGGCGATCTTGCGTACCCTGCCAGGAGAGATCCCGTTTAAGGCAAGGAGAGCCGTTACATCCAAGGCTAGAGCGAGAGGTGGGGGCGGTAGTGCATCTCGACCTACTTTTTATGCCGCTTGGGGATCAGGGCTATAATTACATCTTCGATGCGCGCGATAACCTGTCTGGCKTTGTGGACGAACGTGCTATTCGCACGAAGACTRGGCCAGTCTTGGTTAGCTGCATCGAGGAATATTACCTGCACTATCCTTTCGTCAGGGAAYTCGTAATGGACAGGGGATCGGAGTTTACMTGCCAGGAGGTGCAAGAATTGTTATCMAGGTATGGTGCAGTAACCAACTACACCACGGCTGCGCACCCCSAGGCAAATGCTCCARTGGAGAGAGGGCATAGTACCATTGCGAACCTCCTGGCCAAGTGGACCGAAGGTAGGCCTTATCAATGGCCAAGATACCTAAGGRCAACATTCTTTGTCGAAMACATTATAGTGAAAAGGTCCACCAAGTRTGCGYCGGCTACACTGTGGTATKGAAGGCACRCCWCCTTCCCTATCGAGARCTTTCTTAAGACATGGAGGCGCYAGGATCTGGAAGTTAGCCTKTCATTTGAAGAATTGCTCGATATTCGGGCGCGGCAGGTRGRGGCGATAGAGGAAAGGATCCAGGAGGCGTCCGATCAGGTGGCAAGCAGCCGTATGGATGATAAGGCTCGATGGGATCARTCTGCACGGGTGAGGAAAGTACCTTTGGCAGTTGGGGAYGTCGTGCTCCTCTACGATTCATCGTTGGARAAGMAGTGGTCCAGGAAACTCGATAAGAGGTGGTTAGGCYCCTACCGGATCGTACRGGTTGGAGACTTCAGAGCGTACCAGATTGAGGAGYTGAACGGGAAGGAATGGAAGGACTGGGTAWCTGGAACGMGGTTGAAGAAATTTRTGGCGAGAGAAGAGGTGAGAGAGATGATCTGACTGCCTTTAGAATAGAAGCAGTAGGATGTGTAGGTCAGATAGGTTGCATGTTGCATGAGTGTGGTCTTGTCTGAGATGCTTTGATTATCACTTGTTTGCTTACCCCAATGTGTGCATGTTGTCTCCTTCGCTTGTTGTGCAGGTCTGACTTTATGAAGACAGCCATGCTAAGGGGAGGGAAGGGGACACGGCCGCCGCGAAGGCCGTTGGGGGCATCAGGAGGATATGAGCGGCATGGGCCTTGCCATCGAGAGAGTACTCCGGTGTACGATGATGGGGACATCGAGCTATTCCTCGACAGTTTCTGGGAGCATGCGAGGCGTATGGCCTGGACCGTGGCCTAGGCGATTGAGAGATTGAGGGGAGTCGGCAGATTCGAGGAGCCCATTGCCCGGATCCGTAGGAAGGCAACGACGAGGCCAGAGGTGGAGATGAGGACGCAGGAGCTACGACCCTCGCCTGTGGGACCAGATGGCAGGCCAATCCGCCTAGAGATCGGAAATGCGGCAGATTTTATCCCTGCCTTCGAGTAGTTCATGCAGGGGCAAGGTACACCGAGAGATGATTGGGCGAGGGCGTTACCCCTTTGGACCAGAAAGGCGGAGAGGCCACTGGCTAGGCAAATCAGAGATATGGCCCGGGATTAGGAGAGCTGCAGGGCACACCTGAGGGAGGCCTTTCGACGGCCAGAGTCGCCTCGGCCCCGAGTTGAGAGACGCCAGAGGAGCAGGAGACAGAGGGACCCTGAGCCCAGTGAGGCGAGGCCATCGCGAGGGGGAYRGAGGCCCTAGCCAGGAGAGAGGAGGAGCCGGAGCCTGAGGATGAGGAGCGAGGGGCGTATCCTGAGTGTGGACTGGGACCAGTGGAGTTCCATCGTTTTACTGAGGGTGGATTGAGGAGGTCRCCAGTGCRCACACAGGAGGAGGCGCCGACATCTGAGGGGCCGTTGAGAGAATTGGAGGTGCATCWGGACGTCTCTCGATGAGGAGCGTCGCCTCGAGGCGAGGAGCGTGGAGGACAGGCAGAGGAGGTACCACGAGAGGGGGTGCTACAAGARGAGGTGCCACGTGAGGAGGTGTCACGAGAGGAGGTGCCACGAGAGGAGGTGCCACATGAGGAGGTACCACGAGAGGGGATGCCACGAGAGGAGGTCCGAGATGCTCAGCGAGAGAGAGGGYTGGGCGATGAGGGGAGACGTGCMGAAAAGGAAGTGATAGAGGTTGGAGAGGACACGCCCCCTCAGACACCAGCGGTGGGTTTGAGACTCGGGGATGCACCAGGGAGCACTCGTAAGGCAGCAGAGAGGTTGCAGAGAAAAGAGGCYCCTTTGCCTTCATCAGAAAAGGCTCCGTCGCCAGAGAGAARAGCAGAAAGGAGGAGAGAGAAGGCAGTTGTAAGGAGAGAAGYCTTGGCCCTSATTGATAGGCACCTAGCAGCTCATGCCCTRGAGCACCCAGACTTGGAGRAGCCAGCACCTGCAGAGCCGCGCMAGGAGCYGTGCCAGCCCGAGAAGGAGGTGGAGGCAGWGATCCCGAAGAGGGTYGACCTCCGCACGAGRGAGAGGGCACCAGCTRGAGAGACAGCTGAAGAAAAGAGGGCGRGAAGAAGCAGGAGGATAGAAGAAATATSGCAAGAGAGGCAGAGGTTGGAGGCGGCGGGGGCACTTCCRGAGCAGCAGCAGGAAAGGCAGAGATTGGAGGCAGCAGGGGCACTCCCGGGTCAGCCACCCAGCAAGCYAGCTAARGCCCTGTAAATCCCAGAGATGTGGAGGGACTTCTGGGAGCAGAGAGGAGAGGAGCTTCCTTCGTCGATCAGAGCCRGGTTTSGGATAGCAAGAAAGGYGGAAGAAAGATTGGATCGCAAAATCAAGTTCCTRACCAAGACAACTTTTGACCGGCACTTGTTATTGGAGAGCAATCTGGCAGGGAAGAGGACGAAGGAARAAGGCCATGGAGTACGCCTGGAGGCTATGGAAGTGGAAATMMAGGAACTCGGGGYATTGGTGGCCAGTCAGRCAKCTATCATCGAGAGCCTGAGGCAGCAATCTSAGGGAAGAGCGGACAAGCCGGAGAGCAGCYGGCAGGGARAGCAGAGGCAGCCAGGACATGGTTTGCCAGRACAGCCATCTGCAGCAGAGCCTCGCCAGGAGCCGCCTATGGGGAGAGTTATCCKGRGGCCAGAGGAGGCGAGAGCCCAGAGGGAGGCAGAGAGAGAGGCTTTCGAGTTCAGAGCCCCTACTGAGCTCGCGACGCTACCGATAGCAGCGGCGGACCCAGTCATACCTTTGGGAGTTGAGGAGGGGCTACCACCACCTAGCAGTGAGCCAGCTGAAGGCTCAGCAGAGGGATCCATGGACGTGCTACTTGAGGCAGTGCATACTATGCAGGACGAGGCCAGTTTAATTTCGCCTGAGCAGAGGATAGAGGATCCTCTTGAGAGAGAGATGGGGATTGAGGCAGAGGGTGTCATCAAGGGCGGGCCCCAGAGATTGGGCACACCTGAGTATGGGCCAGAGGGGATTGAGGATCGACCAGGGCCGAGCACCCAGGAGGCAGAGACAGGAGAGGAACCTTTGGGTATGCCTCAGAGCCATGAGCTGAGCAGGGAGGCCAGCGAAGCGCCATCATCGCCAGAATTTCAAACAGAGAAGAAAAGATCACGGAAATGGTTTGATATGTCCTGCTTCTTCTGCACGAAGAAGGGTCATCGAGCCTTGCAGTGTCCTAAATTCTTGAAGGACAAGGCTGAAGAGAAGGTTACAGAGGACGGAGGCAGGATGTATGATAGACAGGGTAGGGTAGTAGAGAGATCTGCAGATAGGGGTAAAGCTCAGCTGTATGGGCAAAACCAGGAGGAGATGAGTGAGTAGGACTGGGTTACCGATATGGTTGACATGTTGTGTATAAGACCTAAGTTAGGACTGGATGACGTCCTCTAGACCTAGGTGGTTGTTGTATTTGTTGGGCAGTTCGGGTTGGGTTTTTGTTGAGTCTGCCATCTTGAGGACGAGGACATGGTAGATGAAGCGTGTACGTACTTAGGTGACCTACACCCTCATCTTCGAGAGACAGACCCAACTTGTACTTTGAGGAGGATAGCTGTGTGAATGTGGATTTGAGTGAGTTGAGTGAGTCACGGTTGGAGACATTTTTGTACGGGATATTTTGTCCCGGAGTGTATATTTTATCGAGACTTTTTTCTGGGACTACTTGTTGTGTATGACGATCACTCTCACGCTCACTCGCGTGGTCCTGGCTTGCTGAATGATGGTTTGGTGTGAAACATGCACGAGAAATATCTCATGTGCCTTGTACCTTGTACCTTGTGAGTATGAATGAATGTGAACTGTCTACTCGCCGGTATACTCGTGCGATCTGCCCCCAAGCGGGTAAGAAAGCAGAGTATAAGGCAAGGAAGCGCAGTCTGCTTTGTAAGAGGATGTGAGAATCCTGAATATTTGTATGATGAGTGTTCTATTGATGAGTTGTGCAGGGGACCCATAAGCTGGTCTTTTTATATGAATTGTGTGATGAATGAGACATATGTGAATGGAAGGGTTGTCTATTATCTATTTGGAAGACGCATCTTCAAAGAGGGAAGATGTGTTAAAAAGAAGGTCGCGAGAAAAGTTCATCCTAGAGAGAGAGGGATGACTGGAAGACCTATTGAAGTGAGACCTCCTATATATGTGATGTGGTTAATAAGGTGGATAACTGGAAGATTGATTTTGAGTAATAAAATACCGACAAGAGGGGCCAAAATTTTGTGTGACTATTGATGGAATTTTTGGATGTCGCAAATGGAGCATTTTGAGAGATGTCATCAAGATGTGTGACCTTCTCGCTCTGATCAAGCTGGGAGGTCATGACCTTGTGAATCAGACGGTGATTTTGTTTAGTGATTGTGGAGAGGTTGCCGTGCTTCCTCTGTGTTGTCCCACAGAGGGACTGGTAAATACCTTTATGTGCGACAGATCTATGCGTAGTCCCACAGTAAGCTTGTATTGTTGCGACACACCGTCCAACCGCTTGTGCTAGTCTTGGACATTTATAAGAAACCCAGCTAGGGGTATAACTAGCATCACTAAGGCGCAACCCTTAGTGTTGGCCGCTGTTTGGCACAACCTGAGCAGAGGGTCTGCGTCTGGCCAAGGGAGTAAAGACTTAAAGGGGCGTGAACGCCTAGGARGGTTTTAWTCCWACGGAGAGGCGTGGGATAAGAGTCGAGTCATATGAGTCTTTTGAAGAAGTCCTGATTGAATGCTTATCAGGAACAGCCTATCCTGGCGCAACCCACGAAGGCACTACCACTAAGATAATAATGCGGTGGG